AATACTAGATCTTTTCTTGAAGATGTTATACAAATGAGTAGAGAAGTCTCTTATTTATAAGAAAGTTGCTTGGTGACTAAGTAAAAAGTCTTGGTGGCCAAGTAACAAATATTGGTGACCAAGTAACCAATCTTAGTGACCAAATAACTAGACTAGTTTATGACTAACTATCTTGCTCCCAAGTAATTTTATAATACATGGACATACACTCTTAAAATTATTTATAACAGATCTTTTGTTTTTGAAAATTTGACAATAACTAGCTCATTTTGGTAGTCAATTTTAAGGTCAAAGGAAGGTTAATTTATCCTATTAAAAAGGTGAAAGGAATATAGTTTTTTCAATGCTCAAGCTTAATAAGTGAAATTTGCTCCATAAAATCGTTTAAAGTATTAGCAGGAGCAAAGCTTCAAGAGTTATTGCAATCCCAGATGGTTCCTCTAACGACCCGACCGGTCGTTTTGAACTCTAGCACGTCGTTCGACAGTTTGAGGCCTTGAGTAGCTTCACTTCATGTATTATGACTTGTACGTGTGGTCGGAATTGGATTTTGGGAAGTTCAGAGTTGATTTGGAAGGAAAATTCTAATTTCGAAACTTTAAATTGGAAGAATGGACTAAGGTTTGACTTTTGAGTAAATGACATCGGAATCGGGATTTGAAGGTTCCAAAAAGTTCATATGATGATTTCAGACTTGGGCTTATGTTCGGGTTGAGTATCGGGTGGTCCAGAAGTATTTCGGCGTTTATTATGAAAGATTGGCATTTTGAAGGTTTAAGAATTTTCTAGGTTTGGTTTGAAGTAGGATTTAGTGTTATCGATATTCGTTTGGGTTTTTTAGCCTTAGAATAGGTTCGTATCGTGATTTGTGACATGTACACAAAGTTTGGCGTCATTCCAGAATGTTTTGATATGATTCGGACGCATTCGTCAAAGTTTGGAAGTTTGAAAGTTGAAAGAAAAATTTTGATCGTCGATTCATGATTTTGATGATATTTGTGGCGGTTCGAGCCTTTGGATAAGTTTTTATAAGGTATTGTGACTTGTTGGTGTGATTTTATGGGGTCCAGGGTGCGAATCAGATTGAAAACGGATCGAGTTTGTACTTGGGAGAAGTGCTGAGGCAGCTGGGATCTAGTGCAATCGCACCTGCGTAAAAAAGGCCATAGGTGCGAGCCCGCAGGTGCGACGTTGTGGTCACAGAAGCGACATTTAGATTGAGCTGGGATGGCCGCAGATGCGAGGATATTTCTGCATCTTCAATCCCGCAGATGCGAAGAATGCTCTGCAGAGGCGGACAACGAGCTGGGCAGCTGGGGTCGCAGAAGCGGAAGGTCTCCGCACGTGCAAGAGTGCAAGAGCGTGGGGTGGACCGCAGAAGTGGTCGCGCAGGAGCAGAATTGGGTCCGTAGAACCGAATTTGCCTGGCTTGGAGAGAACCGCACCTGCGATGGTTTTTTCCACAGGTGCGGCAAGTGGTTTGCTGGTGCGAAGGTTGCTAGGCAGTGGTGCTTTTAAATCGAGACTTAGCTCTCATTTCTCTCATTTGTTTCTTGGGTTGGCCGAAGTTGAGGAGCTATTTTGAGGGGTTTTCATCGAGCAACATGAGGTAAGTGATTCCCATCTATTACAAGTTAAATACTTGGATTATATATGGATATTTACATGGAAATTCATGGAAATTGTGGGATTTTAACAGGAAAACCTAGAATTGATAATTTTGGATTTTGACCATGATTTTGAAAATGGAATTAGGAATAAATTGTATATTTGTGTTTATGGTGTTATGTGTAAAGTTTATCTTTGAAAATTTTCGAAATCCGAGCACGTGGGCCCGATAGTTGACTTTATTGACTTTTCGAGCGGAGTTGAGAATCATTATAAATTTTTAAATTTTAAGCATTGGAGTATATTTTGATTGATTTACACATTGTTTGACTAGTTTCAGGACGTTTGGCTTTGAGCCGAGGTGTTCGAGAGGCGTTGGAGCCGGTTATGAAATTTCAGAGCGAGGTAAGTCTCCTGTCTAACTTTGTGAGGGGGAAACTACCCCCTAGGTGATGTAATTGTTATTTGCTATTGTTGTGGGTGCTGCGTACGCACGAGATGACGAGAGTCCATACGTAGCTAAAGCATGTTTATGTTCGGGTAGACTTAGGACTTTATCATGTAATATTTGAAATATTTGAATTCACTCTGCTCGCTTAATTAATTGAAATTATAATTGAACTTGACCTAGAAATATTTACATATATATTAGGCTGAGCCTTAATACCTCGAGTTGTTGGCAAGTTATTTGAGAAACGGTAAAAGTTATACCCACCTTGTGTTTATATAATGTATTGTAAACTCGTGTCTCGTAATTCGATAATTCCTCTCATTTCTTGTGGAGCGGGCCGAATGCCTCGGCAAGATTATGTACCATACTCTCATGGGAGCGGGCCGTTCACCTCGGTAGTATAATAGATGCATCTATGGTTCGTACCGCTCAACCCTCGACAGTGTACACATTATGATGGGATTGGGCCGATCGCCTCGGCAGTATCATATTCTTTCTGAGATCTGGCCATATGACCTCGGCATAATCGTGCGTTATATCGCTATCAGTCTGAATATTCACGGAGTTCTTCCTTCCACTGATGCCTTGCATCTTATATGGTACTTCCTTATCCGTTTGATATTGGCACTTGATATTTCTGAGCAGTTGAAATAGAATACGAGATTGAGAAATTGATATTGTTAAAAGAAATTTTGGAAGATTGTGTTAGTTAAAGTTTTACCTTACTACTACTGTTGTGCTTCTTATCTGTTTATGATTTACCATGTTGATTTATTAGACCACTAGTAAGTGTCAACGTTGACCCCTTGTTACTTCTTCTCCGTGGTTAGGCTAGATACTTAGTGGGTACGCGTTGATTTACGTACTCATGCTGCACTTCTGCACTAAATATGTAGGATCTGACAGGTTCATTTAGTGATCATCTTGGCGCGTAGGCGCAGCTGTTGCGGAGACTTTATGTGAGCTGCATTCCAGGCTACGCATCGCAGTCCACAGAATCTCAATCGTACTATTTATTTTATCCTGTCTCATTTACATTCTAGACAGATGTTGTATTATGATTGTATTCCTTAGTAAATGTTCATGCACTTATGACATCGGGTTTTGGGATATACTAGTTGATGCTTACGGTTCTGTATATTATCATCGCCTTTTCATTTCTCTTATAAACTACAAATTTTGCACGTTACCGTGAATTTAAAAGTATAAATTTCCTTCCTTATTAAAAATTGATAATTTCAAAAGTAATAAAATGAGTAATTAAATTGATCAATCACCATTGGTTTGCCTGACGGCGGCGTTAGGCGCCATCACGACCTATAGTGGATTTTGGGTCGTGATTGTTCCTACTTTGGTTTCCAAAATGATGAACTATATCAATGCCATTTCTTTCTCTTAGAAAAAAATGAAAAATAAAAATGAAGCATTTGGCAAGGAGGGATCCTTTGAACTGGTAACTGTAAACTACAAGTAATAGTCCTACGTATGGGTGTACAAACCGAACTAAAAATTCGTACCAAACCGAAAAGTCAAACCAAACCGATTAAAAAATTCGATTAGGTTTGGTTTGATGCGGTTTGGTATTAAGTAAAAAAATTCGAACCAACCCGACATATAATTTTTATTTTATTTTTTTACTTTTAAGACTTTTTATAGAATTTTCTTTAAAAAATGTCTAAAAATATTTGCGATTCTTTTATGGGATGTAATATTTAGTTAAATATGAAGTGCTCCATATTTACTAACTTTAAATAATGGGTTGTATGATCACTTTCTTATCAAGTGTTAGTGAAATGCGTCAATCTCTTCGTTCTTCCATATTCATATGTCAAGATCTATTAAATTTTTATATCTTTTTCGAAATTTAAATAATATTGTGATAATTTAGAATTAAATAGTACATTTCATTATATAGGTTCATATTTATTTTTATGTTTAATTATTAAATTTGGTTAACTTTGAAAGTGTATATCAACGTAAACTTATTATTAGACGATATAAAAATAGCTATCATGTGTTACTAAGAAAATTCTTCCATAAGAATATTTTAATAGATCATATATTTGTCAATTATTTTAATTTTTACTAAACATATATTTACTTTCAAAAAATTTAACAAAGTAAGATTTAAATAATATTCATATAACAAAAAATCCGAAAAACCCGACAAAAGCGAACCAATCTAAACCAATATAGTTGGTTTGGTTTAATTTTGATAAAAATCGAACAAACCCGGTCCATGTACACCCCCACATATGAACTATTCGATGAAAAGAAAAATTCCTAAATATGAACTACACTAATTATTAAATTTGTATTAATAATGTACTCTACTTAAAAAAAACTAATTATAAATTTGAATTTTGTTATTAATTTTAGTTTAATAATGCCGACTCTTTTAACCTTGTATTACTTGATCGGTAGTAAATAATGTGATATATTATAATATTTTATTTCCGGTTTCAGTTAAATATTATAAGTACGTCTTGGATACGGCCTAACGTCTGTTATACTATTTGTCTATGCTAATAGGAGCAGATTTTTGTTGATTACGGTGGCTTGAATTACTAATTGAATATGAAAACCAATCTGGTAATTAAGTCCAAAATTGATCGTCGGATGCCGGTCACGGTCTTTTATTTTGGGATCGCAACAAAAATTAAGTAGTGGTTTATGATTCTTACTCAACTCTTCATTATTTTTCCCTTATCCAGGATCACCAAAAAAATAAAAAATGCTGGGAATATTTGGTTTAGAAGGATAAATAAGTTAGTTGAGCAATCAGCGTCATTTGGAAACAAGGAAGCGATCGAGTACTAGGACTAAAACTAGAGGTACAAGGAAGCAGCACATTCTTAGTATTAGTGAGCTCATGTCCAATCTTGGCCTATATATATTGGTTGAATACATACACAAGCTCCTTAAATGTTTTTCACTTAGACACATCACATACACGTGTCTTGTTCAAATTGTGTCAATTGGACACATATTTTACTACTATTCTAAACTAAGTTTAGATGCGTACGTGACTGCCACGCACTTGTCAAAGCAAAAAATAACCACGTCATAGATGAAAAAATCAAAGAAGATCTCCGGCGTAAAAAAAAACACTACCGGCCGGAATACATTTTCTTTGTTACCAAATTAATGGGAGCTATACTTATATTTATCTTTCTTGACATTTCATCTATCGATTGCAAACTAAAACTTAGCTGACCCGAAACTTTGTCCAAAAGTGGGTTAAAAATCGGATTTGGGTTGAAAGAAGAAAAAGGATGCATGACCGGCCATTGTCCAAAGAATGGCAGCTGTACTGCCGAAACGAATAAAAAGAAGCAACTCTACCTTGATTTTGGAGAAGGAGAGGCGACGGTGGTCGGATCTGAAAAAAAGATGGATGCAAAAAATTTATCACCGGAAAAATATTTTTATTTTTCGGTGAGACACGCTATGTTTAAAGTTTGATACATCGTTCAGGTGTTCAACAAGAACAAGCCTCAATATAAGTGTTTAAATTAAGAATCGAACAATTTTAAAAGGCCACATTCCTACTATATAGAAGAGCGCAGAAGCAGCTCTCCGTCGGCATCCCTGCTTGCCGACGGATGGCAATTTGGTATTTGCAATGCTCCTATATTAGGTAAAATTACTGTTGTGTCTATGCACTAGCTGATTTGTGTTATTTAGATAAAGACTATTTACGTAATTTTTCACCACTTAGTTTTGCTCTCTTTTACCACAATACGGTAATTTTGCTCTACTTCACCCTCTTGCTTTCTGCAAATTTCGCGCATTTTCCCTTCTTCGTCGCTTAGTGCTTTTTGCTTTCATGCACTTAATATCAATTTCTGAAATATAAAGTGACATTTTAACATGAGATTGAGGTTTTTGTTGAGTTTTTTGCGATTCACACTTACTCCACTAAGATAATCACATGGTTGAAAGATTAGTTTTGCTGTTCTATTTCTTCTCCTTTATATGGGTGACTTTAATTATTTTTTTTCACGGTTTTTGTTGGTTTTTTGTTCTAGTTTTTGTTGTTTGTGAAACTCAAATAAAAGCTTGAAAAGAAACTAGGGTTTCCGCCAATTTTCCATCTTTATTTGTATTTGAATGTTTTGTCATTTTCTAAATTGGAGATTTCAGAATGGATGAACCTTCTGATTTTCTCGTATTTGAGCCACAATTCTAAATATGCTTTTGATTTATTTCAATTTGTTTCTTTGCGTTTACATGGATAGAAGTGAAGATGTTTTTTCCAGCTCACTTCATCTTAATAATGTCTAAGGGGTCGTTTTGGTTGAAGTATTGGAATAATTAATCGCAACAGAAATTTTTGCATAAGATAATACAATGTTTGGCCTCAGAACAAAAAAATAATTGGCGCGTACCTATGATGCAATATTTTGTTTGCGTCATTAAATAATACACATATCAAATTTTGTGGGAATTTATGTATTATTTTATGCGGAATTGAATGTAAAATAACAAACTACATTTGGTGACTAATTGTATATCTTTTCTGGCAGAATCTTGTTCACATTGTGGACTTTTGAGCCATGATTGCTGAAAGAAGTGAGATGGAGGAGAAATGAGCGACGTCTAAGCTATATCAGACACCGCTAATGGTGCAACAATTATTAAAAAGACGATATTGCATCAACAAAGGATTTGACCTTAGTAGATGCACTGTCTCTTTTTTAACAATGGTTATATGCTATCAAAGAATTGGTTTATCTGCTGATCAGTATTGTTTAAATAATGTTGAATTTAATATATGGTTTGTGTGTTCTAAACTTTGGTTTTCAATAGTGATAATGCTCCAGAGATAATGCATTTAATATTTTTATTTTATCAATTTCAGATGTTAAGCTTACAAGAGTTGGCGGATTAATTGACGCTAGAACTGTACGTTGTTGAACTTTGTAATGTGTAGTCCACTCATACAAGTCACTTGCTTCAAAACGTACTCTTTCCCAAGGGCACTTTTTAGCTATAACAAGTACATAGTTGAGTTTGATGAATTTGTGAGGTTGTGGTGCATTGTCTTTGGTAGATATGATCTGACTTTAGAATATCATTGATATATGACAAGACACTCAATTGCTATAAACTACTCTTTGCAGATAAGCAGGTCGATTAAAGCTTTCCAGGCGCTGGTCTGGCTAAGATATTGATTTGTTATATTTTCAGGTGTAGACGAGTTGATGTACAACTGTCGAATTGGTGTGGCAGCAAAGGATAACCCAATTTGGAACTTAAGAATAAAAAAGTTGAAATATGCTCTTGAGCTACTTGTAAAATTATTTTGCTTAAAAGATTTTGTGCTTTTCTTAGCTTGAGTTTTATGAGTACATTAGTAGTATGTGAAATATCTAGCTTTTTAATAGTACAACAATAGAAGTCATTTATTGTGCAGCCACGACACTATTTGCTCTCAAATCTAGCTGGAATAACTTGCCACCAAATTGGGAGGGTTCAGATCCTTGCGGTAGAAGCTGGGAAGGAATTGTCTGTAAAGATTCACACATAACCTCAATGAATATCCTTGATATTTGAAATTTCTGACTGTTCTGTAGTTGGCTCTACCTTCCGTTCCTCATTATTTTCTTTAATTTTTCATCCATATATAGTTATCAGGCATGGGCTTGAAAGGCAACCAGTTTAGACATCTTTCATCACTAACTACATTGGAAATTTTGTATGTTTTTGTTTATATTTTTTCTATCTTGACTCTTCAGATATTGATGATAAGATTCTGAAATCATCTTTAGTTTACCTATAATTCTTTCTCCAACCCTCATCTGAGGCACAATTGTAGTTTCAAATAAAAATCATTAAGAATGCCGTAAACAGTGCTAAAAAATAAACAAGTTCAATATTCATGTCTTTCTCTTTGCTATTGTTTAATTCTGGCCTCATCCGTTCCTCATCCCAAACTGATTTTTAGAAGTATTTTTAAGGAGTATACACATCATCATATATGAAAGATAAATCTTTTTTCTCAACTAAAAGGAATAAGTTCTGTCATTTGGATTAGAAGATATCCGCTGCTTGAACATCTTTAATTAGTTTCTAACACTCCTCTTACCCAAAGTTATATATTCAAACGGTTTATCACTTTACTTTATTTTATTGTAACGAATTTGGAGTAGGGATTTCTCGAATAATGTTGGACCGAAAGGAACTCTTCCATCATCAATTAGAAATTTGAAGCATTTAACCTTGTAAGAGAATTTAAATGGTGATCAAGTATACAGAATTTGTAGTGTCAATTCTGACTTCAGAAGCTAGTCATTTTATGCAGAATCTTAGTTGGTTGCAGCTTCTTTGGTCCAATTCCAAAATCAATTGGTTCTCTGCAACAGCTGGTCTTTATGTAAGGATTTACATTTACACTTTATCCATTTGTTCACCTGAAGTTTATCATTAATTGCTTCCTTTTTATTCATCTGGATTTCAATAGTACATTTCTTCTAAGTCAGACTTTCGCAACTGAGTTATTATTCATGCAGTTAAGAACAACTTTGGTCACAAACCTCTTTTTATTTTTTGCTTTTCCTATCATTGTTGATATACTTTTGCCCAAAACATATTAGGTTCCATTCATGAAAAAGGTGAATTGAACCTTATTGAGATTGGCTTTACTTCAATAACAAAAAGTTACCTATCAATGGTGGGTTATAGAGCAGAGATTAATACAAATACTATACTGCAATATTTGACATTCTTTAATATGCCTTCGGGTGCCTTGTGAAAATAAACTTTTAAGATAAAAACAAGTATGCTATTAATATCATGTCTTCGTAAAACTCAAAGGAGTAAATCTTCCACTCCTAATCAAAGGTATTGAAAATCGAGTACTCAATATTATATTTTAAAATTTTAAATTTTCACAAACAATTGTATGTTTGATAATACGTTATGGTGTTTATATGTCTTTGAAGGTATCATAAAACCTCTCTTATGTTGTTTGTTGCTTGCTTTTGTTTCTGGTATAACAAGAGTGACTACTGAGTTGGGCACTGTAGGTGATACTCAAAAGGGAAGACATGTTGCTTTGCTTGAAGATACACATTTTCTTTATTTTTGGGGTATTGCATCAATAATACCTGGTTGTAATCACTACTTATGGTTGACTGGATAGCAGTAGCGTTGTAGATTCTATTTATTTCATCTGTTGCAGATATTGTACGTTCATGTATCGAAAAGCCTACTGATCATGATAGTCCAGTTTCTTATTTATAAATGGAGAACTATTCCATTGGCATCAGAACACTTAGAAAATAAATAAACAGAATGCTTAATATATTGGGCTCGTGTGATAGCACGGGCAATCTTCATCTAGTATATATCTATTTGGTCATTCACTTTAATTTCTCCTACTAATATGATGCATGCAAGTAGAGACGCCGATTAACGAGTACATGATGCAATAAATTATCTCTGCAACTTGGATGTATCTTTAAATATATTAATGATGTTCATGAAATATTAAAAAAAATTGCAAATTACTACTTTGCTTTACTTATTACTACTATTATAGAAGCGGCTAAGAGAGGAGCTTCGGGTAGTAAGGGTATTATGGGAATTTCAATTATTTTGGCTCTCTAGACGTGTTATCTTTGATTTCTCAATCTCTGCCACGTCCATATATGAAACTCAAATCACACTGAAAGTTCATACTCATCTTTCTCCAGATTTTCATGACTTTGTCAACTCTTCTTCAATTTTCCTTTGTCTCTTCTGGTCTTATCTCTTGCCGCTCTGAAATAGTTATCAGGTTAGTTATGTTTTGCCTAGATTTTTGCTTCCTTCACCCCAACTTCTGTGTATTTCCTTAAAAATAAGGGCCTTTGTTGTATTTGTGTTTGGGAAAAATTCTTCAATGAATCAGACTTTCTACTCGATTTCTAATATTATCTTCGGATTTACTTTCTTGGTGCGCTTGGGCGAAGAATAATCTGATAATTTTGATTTTGGATAATTTAGATGGCGTTCTATTTCCATCTCTCTGTAATTTATTTTGCTTCTTCAAGTTTGCCCACAAGTTTAATTGGTACAAATCCTTGATAAGTCTCACTTACCTTAAATCATCCGAAGTTTTGTCCTCTCTTGAATCTTCTTATTTTTTCTTCAAGTTGTTCCTGAAAGAAATTTAAAGAAAGGAATTTCAGAAGACATGATATTATAGTTGGTGATAATTTAAAAGCATACAATAAAGGAAAACGGAGCAAAAGTTTAGCACTAAGTGAGATGCACCTGTTGAAACCTTTGTAACTATAATTGTGAGAATGAAGGAAAATAGCAAACAAGAAGCCGTTATATGGATGGTCTGAAGTGGTCGATGTACTAAACTGCGACCCTTTATCTTCATTAAGTGTGCTTTGAACAAAAAAAACTTGAGAAAGAACATCGTATCTACTTCTAAAGTTTCTTTTCCCCTAAATATTGGTATATACTTTCAATTAAAAGTCAGTCAATCTTTGTAACTATAAAGATATCGTATCTACTTCTGAAGTTTCTTTTCCCCTAAATATTGGTACATACTTTCAATTAAAAATCATTCAATCTTTGTAACTATAAAGATTTCGCCAAAAGAAATCGTGGTATATATACATTCAAAGTTCAAGGTCAAATCTATCACTTTATAGATGATTTATATCCTGCAGAGAGAAGGCCCAAATATTTGCTGTTGTACTTTTATGATAACGATAATGAGATTACAAATAGAATGGCTTGCTATGATAAAATAGATGAATTAATAGTGAGGGAATTGATATACATACTAAAAGATAATCCATATTGTATATTTTTACAAACTTTATCTGAGATTTCGAACTTACAAAACTATCAGATCGCACTTAAATGTAACTCTGGATTGGATCAACGAATATTTAACTTGCCCAGTACTATTGAGGTTGCAGCAATATGGGATGATGAAAATGATGTTGGTGATATTCATGTACCGCACGTTCAAATTTATACTCACAATAATAGAACGCAAAGAGTGAACTACTCTTTTGGGGTGCTATGATCCTTTACAGTATCCTTTTCTATTTCCATATGGCCAAAGTGGGTGGCATTGTGATATTAGAAAGTTTCACGGGAAAGAAAATATGCCTAAAAATTATGCTTTGTCTGATTTGGAACAATTACCAAATACAAACAATTTTACCTCTGTTGACGTATATTTTGATATGGAAGTTCAAGTTATGTAAAAAGGAAAACGAAAGAGAGATACAGTTTCAGTTCGTGAATACCACAGTTACAAGATCCATATGAGAAACCATGATGAAGATGAACTTCTACATACAGGGAGATTACTTCAACAATATTCGGTTGATGAATATATAAAATTGGTGACTCAAAGATTGGATTTTATTTTCTTCAATCAATATTTGTTCGGAATAGATATGTTAAAAGGACTTCTTGAAATTTTAAGACTTGGTGAACGAGATGCTTCTAATGTTGAAAATCAATATTTCTGTCAAATTTATTTATAAGAGGGCCTAGAGATATGCGTCAGCGTTATATGAACGCTATTGCGTTAGTGAAGTATTTTGGAAAGCCTGATCTATTTATAACGATGACATGTAACCCATCTTGGCTAGAAAATTGAGGAACATTTAGCACCCAACGACGAGGCACAAAATAGACCCGATTTGATTAGTCGCATTTTTAGGGCCAAAATAGAAGAGCTGAAGACGGATATTCTAAAACGAAATATCTTTGAAAAAGTTGTTGCTTTTATGTACACCGTTGAGTTTCAAAAACGAGGTTTACCTCATGCTCATTTTCTTATTATATTACAGAATGACTATAAACTGTAGACAGCTGAAGCATACGATGAAATAATTAGAGTAGAATTACCAGACGCCAATGCAGACTTAGATTTGCGTAAGCTTGTTCTAAAGCATATTATGCACGGTTCAGGTGGTAGTTTAGACCCAAAAAATTCCTGTATGAAGAAAAAAATGGGTTCTTGCAAGTTCAAATATCCGAAAATGTTTGTTGATCAAACATCAAAAGGAAATGATTCTTATCCAATTTATAAAAGACGAAATACACGTGAAGTTGTGAAAGTAAGAGGTCATTATTTAGATAACTCTTGGGTCATTCCATACAATTCGTATTTACTCGGTAAATTCAACTATCACATAAATATTGAAGTTTGCTCTGACATCAAAATTGTGAAGTACCTTTATAACTACATCTATAAAGGAATGACAAAAGTGCATTTTCTGTACAGAATAATTATGTGAATATAGAAATAGATGAGGTAAATGAATATCGGTCTGATAGATGGGTATCACCTCCGGAAGCTATATGGCGTCTCTTTCGTTTTCCTATTAGCGAAATGTCTCCGAATGTTTATCGTCTTCAGCTGCATCTTGATGGACAACAACTTGTTTCTTTCAAGAAAAATATGAATGTAAATACGATTGTAAATAATACCATGATTAAAAAAACTATGCTGACCGAGTTCTTCTATATGAACAAAGCAGATAAGAATGCCACGAAGCTGAACTTACTGTACATAGAATTTCCTGAATACTTTGTGTGGTCCTCCAGCAACAAATTTTGGACACTTCGACAGCGTTGTTGTGTTGTTGGTCGGTTTGTAACATGTCATCTGATAGAAGGAGAATAATATTATCTTAAATTATTATTGATGCATGTGCGTGGGCCGACATCGTACGGGGATCTTCTTATGGTAAATAGAGAACCTTGTAGTACATTTAGAGAATCTGTGGAGAAAAGAGGATTATTACAGTGTGATTAACGGAATGCATGTCTGAAGCAGCAAGTTATCAGATGCCATATAGTTTAAGACGTTTATTTTCTATATTATTGGTACAATGCAACCCTACCAATCCAAGAGAACTATGGGAGCAATTTGAAGAGTATGTCTGAAGATTATAAAGTGTTACGGACTATTGAAACAAAAGAAGTCCGATATCAAGTTCTGAACCATATCAATGATATTTTGCATTCTATGGGTCATAATGTAAATGAATATGAACTCATCCCACAAACTATTAGGCCTTCCGCAGCAGCGAAAGAAGCAAAAGAGATTCACTTTGAAAGAACTATTACTGTCAGTGAAGACGAGGTACTATTGCATAAGAGACTAAACAAAAATCAACTGACAACATATGATGTAATTGTCAATGGAGTATTTTCCAACAAAGCGGGCGCATTTTTCATTGACGGTCCAGGAGGAACTGGAAAAACTTTCTTATACCGTGCTTTACTAGCAACTGTACGGTCTATGGAATATATCGCTTTGGCAACTGCGACTTCTAGTGTCGCTGCTTCTACTCTCCCTGTAACAATACACTTGTGCATTTCATAGACCGTTCATAGGGTTTCATAACATAATATACCTATGCGTTTTATAGACCTTCCACAGAATTTTATAACACAATATACCTATGCGTGTCATAGACCGTCCATAGGGTTTCATAACACAATATACCTATGCATTTTATAGATCGTCTACCAGATTTCATAATATAATATACCTATGCGTTTCATATACTGTCCACATGATTTCATAACATTTAACGTCGTAATTACTCACATCATTGGAATACTTCATGTTCATGCTTATCATGGAGAAACACAATTCATTATATTAACACATGCATGGTAAATCAATAAGTCGATTTCAATGTCACATGGGCCCAATTCCTTTTCTTAAGGTTCATCGTCATTTAACAAAGGACATCTCCCTTCCATCCCATTATTCACTCCCTTTACCTCTTGAGGTAATTATCTAGGTTCATGACTCTTGGGGACTTAACAATCAAAATCATTTACATATATTATTTCAGAAGCATACAACTATAGTTGAAACCATTGGGACATACAACATTTCGAAATTCTCATTTAGGGAACGATCACATTTCATGTTCATACTATCACTTACTTGTACTTGCCATGGGTGATCATAGAACATTAAGAGAATTTAGAACATTTAGGAACATCATAGCCTTTACTCGCAAGAACGTAGGGGCTTATAACACATTGGAAATAAAGGTACAAATACGTACATCTCATAACCTTTCACACCCTATATAACGTAATCCGTACTTTCAACCACTTACAACATTATTATTTCATTGGCTCTCTTGGACATACATATGATTCTTCTTTCATGGCACAATGGCCGTATTTCATATTCTACACTTTCATATCTTTCCTTTCATGGATCATCATCCTAAATATCAACATAAACAATATCCCGGAAATCACAACTTTAGGTTCATTAGTAATGAAGACTTTAAACACAATGGATTTCTTCTTGAATTACTTTTTTCCCAAAAAGGACAATACACAATTTTCACTCACGAATATGTAAGAATGCAAAACACATTGAAAATACTCACTAATCATATCATTAGCTAAAACAACCACATATGGGCATCACTTAAGTTCATAAGCTTTTAGGCAATTCTATTTTCAAAGTCAATTTTTGAATAGTTGAATCAAAACTCATTTCATAATCTTTCTCACACCATCTCATTTCATGGGCACCATTGGCCACAAGTATAACTTTCTTTCTTGGCACGTTGGTCACACTTTATATCCCCAATTCACTTATTTCACTTCCAACCATCTTTATAGGTTATCAACAATAAGACATTTTCAATCAATACTTTAGGTACACATATGAGCAATTAAGAGTCTTAAGAATATTGAGATTCTCTCACACAATTTGGCATACCATCTTTCATTGAAATACAACTCAAAGCCATAACATTTTAATACGCAACCCATACTTTGAAACTTACGGGAACATTATGAAATTCAATTCCAAGAGAGAAAGTTTAGCGAACATACCTTGATGGAGCTCTTTAGTGCTACTAAAACCACCTACTACTCTTACAACTTCAATCTACATCAACATAATTTAATTGGACCAATATTAGTAACACATTCCATAATTTAGGCCATTTAGGCATTTTATCAAACACCAAGTAGGCATGAATCTTTACATCTCTTACCCATAGAATTAGTTCATCCAACTACTACCATTTACCAATAATTTATTCCACCGTCATTCTTAAACAATTCATAACTTCCAACATCACATACATGACCATCCATCCACACTCAGCCAATAAAATTCTATCAAATAATCACCTTTCAATCTCTACAATGGATATGTATTTAAATTGGGAACTTGTGGCTTCCAATCACCATACCATAAGTTCCAATACTTAATTCATACTCATATTCCCATAATATATCCATACATGTAAGTCTAAGGGTGTAGGATTACCTTTTGGAAGAAATCTTGCAAAACCCTCCTTTGAGTTCTTGAAGAACTTTCTTGAAGATCTATGTATTTTACGGAGGATTGAGTTAGTTTTAGGGTGGAATTGATGGAATGAAACATAAAATTAGTAGGGATTACTTACCTTGAAGATGGGGGGAGTTGAAGGTCTTGTGAGAATGGAGAAAAACCCCAAAGTTCGGCCAAGAAAAATGGGGTAAAATGAACCCTGGAATGAATATATAGCGTTTCGGGCGCCACAGGTGGCGCCGGGGGCTGCCTGTGGCGCTAGTTCCAGTAGCTGTAAGAAACCCCAGCACCAGGGACAGCGCCCCGCGCTACCCTAGACGCTGGCGACGGGAAATAATTTTTTTCTGACACGGGAATGGGCATAACTCTCTCATACGATGTCCGAATTCGACGATTCTTTTTTATATGGCTTCGTAATTTCAATACGGATCTAATGCTTCAATAAAAACTGAATTGGGAGATTATTTGCTTTATATGATACCACTTATACTCGAAGAAACGACATCATTGAAACACTTTTGATGTCAAAATAATGCGGTTCCACCCCATAGGGTTCCTTTGATACTCGAATACGTTATTCCTGAATACCATTGTCGCACTTTAAAATCTTAAATCATTAGAAAATTCTAATGGGGACTTACACCGGGTTGGCCGCGGGGCTTCATATTGGTCAAGTAGAGGAGAAAGTGATCCAACAGTTCCTGAGACACTATCATATAAATTGATCTCAAACCTGTGCTTGATTTCAGAAATTCATGTATAACCATTTCAAGGTCGCACCTCAAGTTCTATCTTCTATGATGTTAGGGATTTGTTCATTCGGCTTATTTGTTTTGTTTCCACATTAACCAGAAACATTATGATCTTGTAACAACACATTTTCAGCTTGGCTTTCCCCTTTATTCAACAAAAGCTGTAAGATTCAGAGTGGGACATCCTAATATTAAAATAGATGTAGAAAGTGACGACGGACACGAATCTGCGGCTGCTCAAGGATCTTTATTGGACAAAATCGTATGGACATATAACTCTGTATACGGTCAAAATAGATTTTGGCCTTTGTATGCCTGATCGAGTTCGAAAGATAATCGATCGAAGTAAGACCTCGAGATGGGTTCCAAAGATGGTACAAACAAGCTTCGAACCCGAGGGGGTGATCAATGTCGAGTTCGATATCATTATCAAGCTCGGATCCAAATCGAACTATGATGCAAAGTAAGGCTATCAAGCTTATCATCCAGAGACCGACCAACGTTGACCCCGAATCAATTCGAGAGCTCGAGTCAGAATTGAGCTCCAGCCAAGATCGAGAGCTCAATTCAGAATCGAGCTCAAGCCAAGATCGAGAGCTCGAGTCAAGATCGAGCTCACAGACAAAAGCCGTTGCAATCCCACCGGAGGAGAGAATCTTGGCAGGAATTGTGGAAAAGCCAGTTTATCCTGGGTCTCCCATTGAGTATTTTTAATTATATTTAAAGCAATATCCCTCTACTATAAAGGGCATGGTTATCATTTCTGTAAAGGAAAGTTTTTTCTAACATTGTAATTCAAGCATTATATTCTCCTATAGTGAAGAGTTGTTCTTTCAAGCATCTTAATTTGATTCCACTTGTTTAGCCCAAAATTTCATCTTCTTTACGACCTTGTCTACTTGGCATTCTTTGCAATCTATACTTGATATTTTTATTTATCCTCACGATTTATAGTAAGCTACACCACATATTCTTAGAACTACGTACAATTCAACTCTATCCATTTTTTGTGTAAACAAACTCACCAGCATTTTCGATGGCTCAGGTGAGAAACAATAACAATATTTCAGTTTCTTTTGTTCTGGATAGTTCTCATCCGTGAAGCGATCAAATGGATACTTTACACTGACATCTTTTCTTTTGTTACACTGGCATCTTTTCTTGGATTTCGGATTAGAAACGACTAACTACCAATCAAATGGCTTCACCAATCGACAACGGAGCCGGTCTTCAAGATGAGAACAATAACTTAACAACCAGTACCGAAAGGCCACTTGTAAATACCGTTGGAGCTCGAATCGGAGCACCAATAGATATCAATTCGCATGTAGCCATTGAGGCGAACCTGCATGCTGAACCCGAGAATAGCATCCATGGTGGCACTCGGTCTGCAGTTCGAGATACCTATAATGTCGAGGAAAACAGCGTTATCTTGCGTATGATTTTCGAAAGGTTGTAAGACCAACAGGCAGCAATAGCTCAGTTGTAGAGCCAAACCCAGCTACAAAGCAGGCCGGAGCCCAATCCATCTCGAGAAATCACCCACAGAACGGAGCCAGCTATAGTGAAGTCAAATGAGAAAGAATC